ACTAAATAATTTATTTTCATGTTTCTTGGCAGCCTTCTCTGCTGGAATTGTAAGCTACACAAGAGAAAGAAATTTCTGTTTTTTCACGAATGTATTCCTCCCAAGTACCTAGAACAGTATACCCCCATAGTAGGCATTCAGTAAACTTGTTGAATAGATGTTTGCAAAACTTGTCTTCCCAGCCAGGAATGTTGTATCTCTTCATTATTTTTATTTTCTGTAATTGATCTATTCTAATCTTTTATTCCTTCTTTAGTCAATTTTAGAAGTTTGTAGCTTTCTAGGAAATCATTCATTTTTATCTAGATTTTCTAATTTATTGGTAAAAGTATCCTATTTTAACTTTTAAATTTCTTATATACCTGTAAGTATATTCCTTATTTATAGTATTGTTTTTGCCCCACCCCCTTGTTAGTTAGGCTTGCAAGAAATTTTCTATTTTCTTAGGTTTTTGTTTTGGTTTTCTTTTCCTTTTAAAAAGAATTCTTAATTTTATCTACTTTCTTTTTTATTTAATTCCTTGATTTCTACTTTTGTCATTATTGATTCTTCACTTCTGCTTTCTTTTTGTAATTAGTCATCTCTTGCCTGCTTACCAAATTAAATAGTTCATTTATTTTTAGTCTTTCTTGTTTTCTCAGCATTTAAAACTACACACAAGCAAAAGGCTGTGAATGAAGAAAACTTCATGTGGCTTTAGCTACATCCCATGAGATTTTCCATATAATGTTCTTATTGTCATTATCTTTTAAATCATTCTTAATTCCCATTTTAACTTCATATTTAATGCAAGGATCATTTATAGTGTTTGTCATCAGGAGTGTGATCAGAAAAGAGAAGGTGCTATGAAAGCAAATATTGGGAACATGAGTCCAGATGTGTGGGGTCAGAAAACCGCACGTGGAGGGAACGACTTCTAAACAGAAAACTAGGGAGACGGTATATGTATTAGAAAAATGATTTCACTGCTTAGGATGGGGGATTAAGGTAGCATTCCAAGCTGAGAATACAGCATGTGCAAAGATGTGGAGGTAGGAAAGAACATGGTAAGTTTTGGGGACTGAAATGAGGTCAGTCTGACTAGATAACACAGTGTAAGGCAAAAAATGGCAAGAGATAGGCCTGGCTAAAGGACAGATAGACCATATCATGAAGCAATTTGGACATTATATATAATCCAAAAACAACATATTGTTTCATGAGCTCTTAAATGCTATATAACATTATACTGTATGCATCATGCCATTACTTTTTCATTCATCATAAAAATATATGTTATTATATCATCCATTCACATCTCTCTCCTTCCATCTCATGATCTACTGCACTTATTTCCGATTAAGTAAGTTTAAGTATAATGTAATTTATGGTAATTTGTAAAAATGTTACTGATTTATTCTGATTCCAAATGTAAGATGCATAAACACAACACAACCTGAACCTCCCTGACGCTATGAATTCCCCTTCCTCCTTCCAGCCAGTCCTCTCCAAGTGTGCTCTTTAGACAATTAAAGAAAGTTTATTCCTAGAGGCTGTACCCAGAGAATGTCATATCTTGAAAGAAAGCTATGAAATCAGCTAGTCCAACTGGTCATTTTACAGACATAGCAACAGAACTAAAGAGTTTAAGATAGTTACCCTCTATGATCCACTGTGACTTAGGCAGAATATTACGTGGAGAAAGTTGATTACTTTGAGTGAACCTGCAGAAGTAGGCTCTATGTTATACCATTCTCACCCCTGCTGACCTCCATGTCTTCATCCCAGCTATATTAGCCGGCTAGAGATGTCATAACAAAATCCCACAGACTGGGCAGCTCAAACAACAGAAATTTAGATTTTTATCTTGTTTTTAGAGGCTAGGAGTCCAAGATCAAGGTACTGTCAAGATTGGTTTCTGATGAGGCCTCTATTCCTGGCTTGGAGACACTTGCCTTCTTGCTGTGTCCTCCAGTGGCCTTTCTTCTGTGTGTGCCCAGAGGGATGCCTGGCATCTCTTCCTCTTATAATGGCACCAGTTCTACTGGACTGGGACCCCCTGCTTCTTAGCCCATTTTACCTTAATTACCCCCTGAAAGGCCCTATCTCCAAACACAGTCTCATTGGAGGTTAAGGCTTCAACACAAGAATTTGAGGGGGACACGATTCAACCCACAACACAATGCAGAATTCCTAGTAACACTATTCCTGCCATGCTCATCCTCATGATTACTTAATACATGAACTCCAGCTCCTTTTTATGCTAAATGATGTTATATAAAAAGTGATATGGTATTCAAGAAGAAAACTGAATACTCTGCAATGAAGTGGGAGGGAAGCTCCCCAATATAGTGTAAAGTTATGGGTTCATACCTGCACATTCTAACTTTCTCAAAGTATATAAATAGTCATTATAAAACAAATTATTTTGGTTGAAAGTACACTTAACTAAAACAGCATGATTTATGGTTACTTAGACTAACATAAACTTTTCTTTTTTCCAGATTATTTTGGAAATATTTTGGTAAAAATGGAAAATAATGTAATGTTTTATTCCAAGATTAATATTGGAGATGCAATAAAGCTGCATTTATGGACAAGCAACACAACAAAAGCATGGATTTTCTTAAATACATCTGGTCATACATACTTCCTGTATGCTTTTGACGATGACGTAATACAAACACAGGACTATCCCTTACATCTGGAAGCAAAAAGTGTAACTTTCAAGGCAAAAGACAAATGCCCATACATGGCATTTCATAATAATATTGCTCATCTTCTTTACTTTTTGGACAAGGGAGAGGCTCTGACAGTTTGGACTCAAATAGTGTATCCAGAAAATAACGGCCTATATGTTATTATGGAATCCTATGGCCCAAAAATATTAGAAGTGAGACATAACATTTCCTTTGAAGTTGCCTTTGGATACTGCACCAAAACTCTGGTAAGTTAATATTTTTAATTTCTTTATTTGGTTTTAATAAGTATAAAAGTATAATATTAACATTTTTATAAATGGATTTCCCTTCTAGGCTCAGCTGGGAAAATGTCCAGGAATGGCTGAGTTTTTAATAACGTGATAAGCCATTAATTCACAAGCCATTATTTTTGCTTTCAATATCCAAGCCCTCTTTGCCACCTAATAACTCGTAACACATTCCTTCAAAACTCATCGATTGTCGATAGTATTGTTCACTTTTTTTTCATGCATGGCTTTCCTGTGGACTTCTGTTATCCATTGTAGTATAACAAACCACCTCAAAACCGAATTGCTTTAAATAACAACCAATTCTATGAATCAATTCAGTTTGGGCTCTGAGTAGCCGGGCAGTTCTGCTGGTTTTACCTGGATTCATTGATGTGGTATGGGCATCCAGTAACTCATCTGCAACTAGATGACCTAAGATGGCCTCATTAATCTAAGGGGCCTCAGCTGGAACACTTGACTGTGCTGGATACGCCAGGGTTAGTGTTATCCTCCAGACTAGACCTGGCTTCTTCCATGGCAGCCTCAGGGCAGCGTTCCAAGATGGTGAGAACAGAACCTAGGCTAGGCCACATATCCCTAACTCATAGGATGGGGACATAAACTCTACTTCTTATGGAGAAATAGCAAGTTACACTGTAAAGAGACATGCATGTGGGAATGGGAAGAATTATTGCAGCGATCTTTGCAAACCACGTCATAATAGGTATAAATATACTGTGCATATTATGTTGTGTAGTATATCTCCAATTAATATCATAATGTGAGCATTTCACAAGTTACTTTAATTTCTTCTTGAAAACTGTGTAACCCAAGTGGCAGTGTCTGTTCCCCACCTTCCCTTTCTCGGCTCAGCTTCCTTAAGCACATATAATAGTGGGTCTGCTATCTGATACAATTGAATGGAAGTGGTCAGTCAATTCCAAAGTCAGTGAAAGCAGAGAATCATAAAAAGTGAAACCAATCTATGTGAAACATTTTACTTTAATTTAAATATATATGAAACATGTTAGTTTCATTTAAATGAACATTCATTTATTAGACAATCTTTTCATGTAGGACCAAAGCCTTTTCTTTAAAATAGGTCCACTTATTATAGCTCCTCATCTCCTTTTTTGTATAACCTTGCTCATAATGCATCATCTTTGAGTTCCTATTTCAGTTTCTTTAAGATAAAGGGAAAAAATACTGAAAGGCACTGGCAAAGCAACTGAAGCTCTAGAATTTTATAATATTTTTCAGTTTTTTTTAGTATTACTTTGCTCTTATTCTCTAATTCAGCAATCTCCTTAGTTACGTGCTTTATCAAAACTTTTCAAAAAAAATCAGCTTCTCAAAGAAACAGTAACTACTTTCATTTGATACTTATTTTATCAATCTATACTATTACATATAATTACTTAATTAAAATAATAATATAATCTGGCATAAACAGATTTGGAAACAACACGAATTTAGATTTATATGGAGTCTCACGGATAGACCTTAAAACACAGAGTTGAATGAAAATTATAAGAAACTATTTGAAATCTATCTTAGTCCACTTGGGCTACATAACAAAAATAGCTCAAGCCAGGTGACTTACAACAACAGAAATTTCATTCTCACAGTTCTGGAGGCTGGGAAGTCCAAGATCAAGGTACCAGCAGGCTCGGTCTCTGGTGAGGGCCCATCCTCATAGACAATGTCTTCTCACCATGTCCTCACATGGCAGAAGGGGCAAGGCCACTCGATTAGTGCTTTTATAAAAGAGGCCTCTTTTATCCTATTCAGGAGGTTCTGCCCTCATGACCTAATCACCTCCCAAAGGGCTCCACCGCCTAATACTATCATATTGGTGATTGGGTTTTAACATACAAATTTTAGAGGAACACAAACATTCAGACCATAGCACTATCAATGTCATATTTATGAATATCACAAATACATACACATAAATAACAAACAAAAAGGCATTATACATATTTCAAGGATACAAAGATACCAAAGGTATATTTTCAAGGATACAAACATAGCTGTTTGATATGTGATATTGCTGTGTGCTATGGGGGAAGATGATACAGGGAAAAAGTAAAATATGATAAATAAAATAAGACTGGATTGATAATGTACCAAAATAAAAGGATGTATTTAACTGATGGTTTTCTTTCCAAGAATCTGATGTATAGTATACAGTTGATTCTTGAACAATGAGGGGATTGGGGCACCAACCCCTGCCCAGTCAAAAATCTGGTATAACTTTTATTGGTTAGTTTGTTTGTTTGTTTGTTTGAGACGAAGTTTCGCTCTTGTCAACCAGGCGGGAGTGCAGTGATGTGATCTCAGCTCACTGCAACCTCCACCTCCCCGGTTCAACTGATCTTCCTTCCTCAGCCACCCGAGTAGCTGGGATTACAGCCACACACCATCATGCCCAGCTAATACTTGTATTTCTAGTAGAGAGAGGGTTTCACCATGTTGGCCAGCTGGTCTCAAATTCCTCACCTCAGGTGATCTGCCCCCCTTGGCCTCCCAAAGTGCTGGGATTACAGGTGTAAGTCATCACGCTTGGCCGTGGTATAACTTTTGACTCCCCAAAAGCTTAACTACTAATAGCCTACTGTTTACTGGAAGCCTAACAGAAACAGCATATTACACATATTTTCTATGTATTATATGCTATATTCTTATAATAAAGTAAGCTAGAGAAAATAAATGCAATTAAGAAAATCATAAGGAAAAGAAAATATATTTATAATACTGTACTGTATTTATCAATACTGTAAATTTACATCATCTGTTTACAAGATAAATGACCTGAAATTATGGGCAACCTAGCTGCAGACCTCAGTCTACAGATATCTATATATGGTGCTCTCTCTCTGTCTCTCTCTATATATAAAATATACATATATACATCTATCTATATGTGTATATATACATACACATACATATATGTATATACATACATACATATTTGAAAAACCTATATATATACATATATAATCTGTGTGTGTGTGTGTGTGTGTGTGTGTATATATATATATATATGTATATATATGCAGTTACATATCAATCAATTCAACATTTTCTTTTTTTGTTTTGTTTTCTGATTTTCTCTCTCATACAACATTTTCTTGTAATGTCATGACTTTTCTCTGCTTGGAAGCACCTTCCACAGCATCACTGGTGGCACTTTGTATGGGCCCATGGTGTTACTCCAGGTTTACAGTATTGCAGTAAACATGGTTAAAAAAATACATAAGAGCCACAAGAGATCAGTTTTTACTGTAATATGCAATTTACTAGAAGGACAAACTGCCCACAGGATGTCTAGCATCACACAGCATTTTAGGCAGATCCTCACAACACTTGAGCTCACAGCAGTAGCAGTCGGAGGTGGCTGTGAAATGATCCCATAATACAGCGTGTACTGCAGTTAATTTCATGCAGTTATGGTTTACTACTGCAGGCTTTGATAAATTTTTTATAATAGATCTGTATGTATTTTCTGGTAGCAAATGATAAAATAGACTACTATCCACATATATTTTATGCACTCATGAAACACCTAACATTTCTTAATTTTTTCAATATTTTAGGCTACATGGTTCAACTGTAAATTTTCTTCAAATTGCCACAAATCTCCCCAAAATTTTCCAGTATGCTAATTTTAAAAAATCCATGTATAAGTGTACTTGCACAGTTCAAACTTGTGTTGTTCAAGGGTCAACTGTATATTTGTGTGTTTGCAACTCAGACCCTCAAAAACTAGTTATTCGTAAAAATATATACAAATGACCAATGGCAATGAAACATTGCATTTTGCAAAAATACAAAATTTGCATTTTTAGTAAAATACTGGCTCTATCATTTACTACCAAATGACAGTGTAATTCTCTCTTCTGTAAATCTGGATAATAACAGAATGAAAGTACCTACCTCATAAGGAGGTTCCTTTTTTCTAATTTTTTTTCCCTTCTTTCAGTTTGACCCTTGAGGTCTTATGAGGATTAAATGAGTTAGCACACATTAAAGACTTAGCAAAGCACCTGGCACACAGTAAATACCGTATGGATGCGCTGCTGCAAGCACCACCCCCACCCCTGCTACTGCTATCACTACAACCACCTTGATCAATTCTAAGGCACTTTTTTCTTTACTTTTTTTCTTTTTTGAGAAAGGGTCTCACTCTGTCATCCAGGCTGGAGTGCAGTGGCATAACCTCTGTTTACTGCAACCTCCATTTCCCGGGTTCAAGCAATTCTCATGTCTCAGCCTCCCGAGTAATTGGAATTACAGGTGTGTGCCACCACGCCTGACTAATTTTTGTATTTTTTTCTTTAGTAGAGGCAGGGTTTCACCATGCTGGCCAAGCTGGTCTCAAACTCCTGAATTCAAGTGATCTGCTCAATAAGGCACTTTTTTCTTAACGTTTAACATCTCTGAAAACAGGACGAGTGTTACATCCTACAGCAATTTAGAGTCAATGAAGTACAATAGTATTATGAAAACACCTTGCTTATATAATGCAGACTGGGTCACTGTAACTTCACAGACTAATTAGTGGCCAGTACATTGCTAAGCATCATAGCTAATCATTCGTTTTAAAAAAATGAATGTAACACCCACATACAAAAGTAAATACCCAACATTTATGCATAATTTAGCAAATTATTATAAACCAAACACCCGTGTAATTACCTTCAAATCAAAAAGCATATAACATCAGAAGCACCCAAAGCCTTCCTGTGTTTTCCCTGATCAGAATTGTCTCCCTTTTCCAAGTTAAGCATTAGTCTGACTTTTGTGGTAATGATTTCCTTACTTTTTGGCCAGGCGTGGTGGCTCACACCTGTAATTCCAGCACTTTGGGAGGCCAAGGTGGGCGGATGGCCTGAGGTCAGGTGTTCAAGGCCAGCCTGGCCAACGTGGTAAAACCCCATCTCTACTAAAAATGCAAGTGGCAGGCACCTATAATCCCAGCCACTGGGGAGACTGAGGCAGGAAAATTCGCTTGAACCCGGGAGGCAAAGGTTACAGTGAGTCAAGATCGCACCATTGCGCTTCACTAAATAATATAGCTAAGCTTTGTCTAGTTTTGAACTTCATATGAATGAAGTAATTGCATATCTATTATATACACACATCCATACATAAATATCTACATATATTGTATTTTTGTCTTGCTTTTGTCTTTGAATATTATGCTTATCAAAGTCCATGTTGTTTTCTTGCACATGTATGTTTACTGCGGTATTGTTCACAATAGCAAAGACTTGGAACCAACCTAAATGCCAACCAATGATAGACTGGATAAAGAAAATATGGCACATATACACTATGGAATACTATGCAGCCATGAAAAAGGATGAGTTCATGTCCTTTGCAGGAACATGAATAAAGCTGGAAACCATCATTCTCAGCAAACTGACACAAGAACAGAAAACCAAACACCACATGTTCTTACTCATAAGTGGGTGTTGAACAATGAGAACACATGGACACAGGGAGGGGAATATCACAAACCAGGGCCTGTTGGGGAGTGGGGGACTAGGGGAGGGATAACAGGAGGTAGGGGGATAAGGGAGGGATAGCATTAGGAGAAATACCTAATGTAGAAGATGGGTTGATGGATGTAGCAAACCACCATGGCACGTGTATAGCTATGTAACAAACCTGCATGTTCTGCACATGTACCCCAGAGCTTAAAGTATAATAATTAAAAAAAAAAAAGAAATGAACTAACCTAAGCAACTTTGGAAAACATATGGTAGCTGGATCCTGTGAGATTAAAGGAAGAAACTGTTTCTAAGCATTGCTTTCTAATTAACAAATTTGTTTTTCACAGAGGTATGGGTTAACAATTATGAAATTACTTTATATATATCCTAGATTTGATCAAATAATTAAATATATTGTAAATAATAAGAGCCAGAGTTGTCAATGTTACAGAAAAGAGCTACAAATATAAAAAATAAATGAGGCTAAAATGAAAAAAATAAAAGAAAGTCCATGTTGTTTTCTGTAACTGTCATTCATTCATACTACTGATCTATTGTGTTCTTCTGAATGAATGTACTACAAGAGATCCTTAGCCATTTTACTGTTGATGAACATTGGTTTGTTTCTATTTGGGGGCTATTCTGAATAATGTAACAATGAATATTTTAGCATATGCCTCCTGAAAAGCATATATAAATATTTCTATCAGGTAGAATTACTTTTACGTGAGATTCTTGGTGAGGCTGTAAATTAAATTTATATTACAATTTTGCAACATTTTATTATGGAAATGTCAAACATATAGAAAAGTCAAAAGAATTTTACATTTAACACCTCTATGCCCACTATGTAGACTAATATTTTATTATACTTGCTTTATTACATATCTATGCATCTATCTATCCACCATTCAGTCTTGTTGATCACTTACAAGTGATCAGCATCATTAAGTACCCTAATGCTACTAAAGTGGGATCACAACCCCCCACCCCTGCAATTTCCCTGCTTTATGTAAATTCATAAATTTTTTTTTCAGTTACTAACGTTTTATCAGAAGATAAATTATGAAGGAACAGATGATTACTTTGGAATGCAGTAAGTATGACTTTTAAAAGAACTTTCTCAGTATCAAATATCCTATTCAGGTTATTGATTTGTAGGTATTCTTTTATTTAAATGGCCATATAGCCTTTTAAATATTCAAATTTCAAATTCCTTTCAGTGGCTGGATAGATGTAAAATTAGTATTTAACTATAAAAAATGTAAAATACTCTTCGTAGTTTAATAAGCAACATGACCTATCTGAAGTTCTCATTCATCCAAATGAAGATGCCAAAAAAATGGGCTATTTCTTAACTGAATAATTTTCAAACATGTTTTATCACCAGTTCTCATCTCAAAGTATCTACATACCATCACTAGCAAAAACAGGAACTCTGGTATCACAGAAACTCTTTAGCTACGTGTAGAACCAGATAAAATGCCATCTTTGATCCCGCAGTAAGGTTGCAGCTAGGCTACCTGAAGGAAGACAGCCCACCTGGAATTCTGTGTTAAGGCATTCCTATGGCTATCATTACAGCCTGGAAGTATTTTCTTGGAAAAATAGCATATTTTCCCTAGGAAAATCCGTTTTTCTTTGGTCTGGTGCTACTCCAACTGAGTTTGACTACCTACTCTATGCCAAGCACTTTCTAGGTATTTAAAATACATGGTAAACGAGAAAGATGAAGTTCTAATGTCATGGAACTCATTCTCCAGTAGGAACAGCAAATTATCAAATAAGTAATTCCAAATACTGGGAAGTGCTATGAAGAAAAGAAAACAGATATATATATATATATATATAT